GGGCTTTGAACCACGCCCTAATTCAGATGATGATGATGAACGTGGTACATGCAATATTTTTTCTAATTGTGACTAGATTATTTATAAAATTGTGTTTTGGTAAGAAATTACTGACATTTAGGCAACCAATATTACTACTGTCTTGTTTTGTTAGTGCCATAACCATAATTTTATTGACAAATATTAAAGTTTAGTTTTCAAAAAGTACCTAATGAATTTTGCGAAACCAGTTTCATAATGTTCAACATTATGCAACTGGTTGCGTAAAGTAGATCATTTTGACACTTGCTGCGATTACAAAAAAATGTCACTTTATATGTCAAAATTAGAAAAAAAAAAAACGTTTATTTTATTCAAATTAATAAATTGTGAATTTATTATCGCAAAACGAAATCCGAAAAATCGGTATATCTGAAAAATAAGTCGCTCAAATAATTTTAAATTTCTGGAACCAATCTCAACGATCCCCCTACGAACTATTAAGACCATTCCCGGACCCCAAAGGTGAAAACAAATACTTGTAGGTTTGAAAAAACGTGTCGCCGTGGAGGTCGAACCGACATCCACGTTTTTCGGACGTGTATCATTACCGTTAGACTATCAACGACATTGACTGTCGAGATTTCTAAACGGAAATTTGAAGTGCTGCGACGTTATTTTGTTAAAAAATCCTAACTCAAAAACTAAAAATTATATCAACTTGAAATTTTTAGCAAAAATCAAGCTCTATATGGGGACAAATCCTATTGATTAAAAAAAAATGCATAATATGGGACTAAAGATGGGGTGAAATCAAAAAATAGAAATCATACACTAAAAGCTATATTAACATGAAATGTTTAGTAAAAATCAAGCTCTATATGGGAATAAGGCCTATTGATTCCGAAAAAAATCGGAATAAAAATGGGGAGAAGAGGGGGTTGAAATATTGAAAAAACTCAGAAATAAAAAACGATATCAAATTGAAATATTCAGGAAAAATTAAGCTTTATAAGGGGATGGAGCTTATTGATTCTGAAAAAAATCTGATTGAAAATGGGGTCTGTTAAATTGTGAAGAGTATAATATAGAACTGTTAAGCATTATATATCATCATTCTAATTTTTGAAATAATAATTGCATTTTTTAAATATTTCCGTGCCAGCCATATACGTATTTCTATTTCAACAAAAAAAAAATACAGACATATCGGAATTTGAATATGAATTGGCATCAATGTTTATATCACAGGGCCGTTTGCACCACTTCCTCTTAGGTGAACCTTAACTTTGAGTATCACCTAAGTTGCACATTTCATTTTCTGACCACAATCCAAATAGTTTAAGTTGTACTTAAGTAAAAGTGAAACTAAGCCGAAGGTATCATCAGTTTAAGTTCTACTTTGCGTGTTTTTAACGTCAATCTGACAAGTTTAATATATTTATCTATAGAAAATAATATAATTAGAATTAGATAAAAGTGTGGCCGAAATAAAGTATAAATGGAATTTTTGGAACATATTTTCGATGATGATGACGATTTTGATGAGTTAAATTTAATTATTTTTGGGATATCTCGACATATTTATCACAGAACGCAATATTTTGAAAGTTTTGATAGCGGTATAGAATGTTTAATAATAGCTTCGTTCGCGGTAACAATCCTGAACTGATTCAGAATTACTAATTCATATTTTGAGCGCATGCCCGAATCATTATCAATTCTGAATGTTTACCGCGCGGGCAATCCCTATTATATCTCGGTGTTTCAGGTATAGACAAGCGGTTCAAAACCAATAATAATTTTCCGCGAACGCAGGATAGAACCAAAATAGTTCAGTTCTTTTTGTTCCGCGAACGCTTTTTAACTACTGCGCCTGCGAAATGGTTACTGTTAGTAATAATTCGGTTCAGGATTCTTACCGCGAACAAAGCTATTAAACTCTTTTCTTTAACTGAATAGTTTGGTGCACGCTTGGTTTCAGTTTTTAATTTTGTTTTATTTTAACTGTTAAAGTACAAAATGCAAAATTACAACACAAACTTTAATCAAATAGATACAATTCGACACTGACATTGATTAGTAATATACAAATTCTTTAAAATTTTACACTGCTGCCAAGTTGTTCTTCACCTTAGCATAGATTTTGTTAAGTGAAACCTATGCAAAACATACCAAACTTAAGGTTCACCTTAAGTCAAGGTACACCTTAGCCAAACCGTAATCGTAAGTTGAAGTGGTGCAAACGTCCCTTAATACTTTGACCTTACATTCGGTTGTGAAAACAGGTAGCAAAATTAGAAAATATAGTTTCGAGTAAAATACTTTATTAAACTGTAACGCAGGTTGATTTCCTAGATATATGTAACAACTCAGAGCTCTAGACACAAAATTGGGCGAAATATATTTTTTTAACCGTTTGAGATATTATACAATTCATTTATTGATTTTTGGGCAAGTGTGAATATCTACAGGGGCAAGTAGCAATCATGTACATGTACATAAACATCTTTTGTACCTACTTCTTTTTAGTTACTTCCTGTGACAAACATTTATACGATGTTAATTAGTATAACTCACAATAATATCGCATACAGGTCAGCACAGTAATGTGTACAAGTTACACATCTTTAGTCTTTACATCACAGACCTAGCAGACCTAACCGTTCGTCCCGCGTTCATAGATGGAAATAGAGCTCGATTTTTTTGTGAAGAGCACACTTCGTCATAATGTGTAGAAACCAATTTGAGTTTGTAGGCGTGGTCAGACAGATTTAAACATGATCGAAGCAGCCTGCCGCTCATCACCGCTCATACAAGTTGAATTCAGTAGCGTAGTGTTACTTATTTGTACTTGTTGCATTTATTTCGCTATTTTGAGTGTGGCATAGCTATGACGAAATGTGCTCTTCACAAAAAAATCGAGCTTCTACCAATGATCGCTTGCTACTTACGTAACCGGTAGCACTGTATTATGGAGGAGTCTGATGCTCAGTGTTAAGTATTTCATCAAAGTTCTTTTACCTTTGATATTGATTTAGACCATTGTATTATCATACTTTTTCTGTAAAATTTCCTGATTAGAATAGAAATGTAACTTCTCTTTTAAGCTTTTAACTTCAAGTTTATTTAGTTCTATTCCGTTTTATATAGATGAAATTTTAGTCCATATGAAAATTAGATACAAAATAAAAAGGTTGAACGTCACATTTAGTTCATTAATATGATTTTATTTTATGGACTTTATAATAACATCTACAAGAAGTAAAAAGACTTTCTGTGATTTAACAGGAATGTCACATCTGGTTTGTTAAAAATATATCATTTTTGGGAACTTCCAGTAACGTTGAATAACGTAACAAATTAGCGCTATAATATCACCGCAACGTCTACATTGTTTCATCACAAAAGTAAACGTCCCTACTCTGGGCTTAGACGGTTATTAGTCCATCCTATAGATGAAAACAAGAGTAAAAATGAGAGTTACAATGTGATGCAAAGTTCTCATTAATTTAACATTTTTATGCATAGTGGGAGACTCAATTTCTCTAAATTTATAAGAAATTCTCTGCCGTCGGCATATTAACCTCAAACATGAGTTTTGTACTTTTTGAATTTTGTTCTTTTATACTGAATAGTTAGATGTGGACCACAGACAGAACTTGCGTAATTAAATATTAAAAAAACTAAAGATTCACATAACTTCACTTTCACGTGAAATGAGAGAAAATATCTGTTACCATAAATTATTTTTAGTTTAGAATAAGCACGTCTTATAAGTTGGTTTACATGTTTTTCAAACCGCAAGTCTGTATCCAACCATACCGCAAGATTTTTTACTTCGTTAACTACAGTTAAAGACACATTATTTATTTTAATATTAAATCCGCTCGAAACATTTATTATTTTCTGGTCCAACAAGAATGACGTTTGATTTACTTGAATTTGTGATTAAACAATAATGATCCGTAGCAGTTTTGATAAAAGCATCTAAGTCGGCATTTATAGTTTCACAGGCTATTTTCACTCTATCAAAAGGAAAACTGTAGTAGAGTTGGGTAACATCTGTGTATAAGTGAAATTTGCAGTGTATACGGAAAATAGCAGCAGTCCAAGAATTGAGTCTTGTGGAACACCCGATTTAATTGAGATATAATCTGACAAATTATTATCAATAACTACACATTGTTGTCTGGTTTGCAAGTAATTACTCAATAGCGATATCGCTCCTTCTGAGAAGCCTATGTATTTTAACATATTTATTATTAATTTGTGATTAATCTGAAATCAAGAAGAATTAACAAGGTGTATAATTTTTTATCAGTTGCCTTAACAATGTCATCAACTATTTGTAAGTTGTGCAACTAAAACCTTTCCTGAAACCCGATTGAAGAGGTGATAAAATAGAGTAATTCGAAATATATTCTTTTAATTGCATCTCCATCACCTTTTCAAGCACTTTTGATAAAACCGGCAAGATGCTTATAGGACGAAAGTCTCTAAATTTCTCTGGATTTTGTTTTTTGGCACAACTTGCACAACTGCCCTTCTCCACGCTGAAGGAAAAAAACAAAAATTGACAATGTGTGTGATATATGGAATAATGTGTGGAAAAGAAAGTTTGATAAGCTTTATGTTCAATCCATTGCAGCCTTTAGCGTTGGTTATTATTCCACAGATATTATAAATTATTAACATCTTTAAAATTAAATGACCCATCACACAGATTATTACTCATATAGTAATTCAATAACTGTAATTAATGGTGGTTCTTTATAGGGCATAGATTCCACAAAAAATGTGTTCACCTCATTAGGATTTTTTAAGTGGGCAGGAAAATTTACCAACCTTTAATGCTTTCCACATTTCTTTAGATGAATTATTATTAAACTTAAATATGAAATATGCTTTCTTTTCCCGCTTGATAGCTTGATTGGTATAATTACGCAATTCTCTGTATAATTGTAAATGATTGGGATTATTAGTTTTTCTGAATGTTACAATACATTATTTTTACTTACGTCCAGATGATCGGGATCGTTTCTAAAGTGGCAATTCTTCTCGCAGGCATGTCCGCAGGGTTCCACTCTAGTGTCACAAGGGTAAGGACATTTAAAGGTCTCCTTGTCAGCTGAACAAGGTTTCGAGGTAATATGATCGCAAGGCAGTGTCGTTTCGACAGGTATAGTGCAATTGTACTTCGTCGGATCCACATGACAAGCGATTTTGACCACGTGATCGCACTTTAAAAGCCGTTTCACTTCGTAGCAACAAGGTCCGCAGTTTTCGTAGCATAATTTTTGACATACGTGTGTTGGATCATCGCAAAGGATCCTAAAAAAAATGTAGATAATTATAAATAACAACAAGTTATTCTATTCCACTCACTTTTCACAGCGCTCTCTACAATTGTATTTGATATGCTCCCTGTCCTCGATGTGACACAATCTTGTACATACATGACCACAGTTTAATGCCGTTTCGCATAGCAAATCGCAACCGCCTTCAGGAAATCTCGCGAAATCGTCAGCTGTCGATACTCTAGTAATCTTATGCCTGTGTATGACGCACCGTAGCGTCAGATGTGAACCTATGGCTTGTTGTTGCTGCAGGGTTTCTTGAATTTTGGGCCATATCTAAACAGACGAAAGGTTAAAGAACTAGGAATAAATTAAAACCTAAAACGGCTATTACAGAAGACCATATAAGGAAAGCAATTCAAAAAAGGGAGAGAAGAATAATTCGAATACATTTGAAAATGTAGAGGAATTCATGTAGGAAACAATATAGTTAAAAATAATTAAAATTGAAATATTTGAAGATGTACTTAAAAAAATTAAAGAGTTGGTTTGGCATGTTTTTAGGGCTAGAAATAAACCAATATATACTGTAGCATAGAATCTAATTGACGAAATAAGAACTGAACATGATGGCAAATTGTAAATAAAAAAATGAGCATAAGCAAAACACGGGTTCAAAAACTACAGGGGAAAGCTAAAAATTAGGCATTGCAACTTCCCGAATAAGTGTGTCTGTAACTCGATATTAGAGAGACATATGTCATATAACATGTGTTTTAAAGATAACAAGGATCTGGTGTATTAAAAAACTGTTGTTGTGCAAAAACAAGTACAAATCTGTTGTTTTCTTACATTGCTGTTACTGCATAGCAAATTCATGTTGCCCATGATGTAAAGTCCGTTTCTGGCTCGAGATAGGGCTACGCATACTCTATTTTCTAATTTTAAGAAGCCGATACTGTTATTTTGGTTGTTTCTTACTAACGATAACAAAATAATATCGGATTCTTCGCCTTGATAATTGTCCAAAACAGCTATTCTAACGTCCTTCAGAATATGACTAAAATAATAAACACTTTTAAAAGGAATGAACATTTTTGGGGGTAGAGATCAAACTAAAAACGTCCTAACTAAACGTGTTAAAAAATACAATAAATTGAAATTTGTCTAAATTTAGAAATAAATATAAAAACGATACGAAGGTATAGAAGGACAACATTGTATATATTTATTTTAATTACGACTTCTGACTTTAAACCCAAAATTTCGACTTTGACGTCGAAATTTCAACATTAAACTCATAATTTTGACTTTAAACTCGACATAATTTCACTTTGTAGTCGAAATTATAACTTTAAACCCAAAATTTTGACTTTATTTTGTAAATTTTCTACTTTCAAGTCAAAATTCCGACTTTAAACTCGAAATATTCCACTTTAAAGTTAATAATTTAAAATATTTTCTGTTCCTTATGCATCCTGTATATCGTTAATGACGTATTTTTTAATTTGAACTTTAAAGTCAAAATTTTCCCATTTACACTCAAAATTTGTAACTTTAAAGTCAAAGTTTCGATTATAAAGTAAAAGTTCCGACTTCACACTCAAAATTCAGACTTTAAAATCCAAATATAGACTTTAAACTCGAAATTTTTTACTTTGTAGTTGAAATTTCGACTTTAAATTACAAATTTTTAACTCTGCGAAATTCCTATATTAAACTCGAAATTTTTAATTTTAAAATTAAGATTTCTAAATTGAAATTCGAAATTTTGACTTTAAACTCGAAATCAAAAATACTAATTCTTATAAATCATCCTTTATATCGCTATAAGGTACACATTTTAAAAATTGAAAAAATAAGCGCTCAACAGATTTCACGTTTATACGGTATTCAAATTAAAAAAATCATATGCATTTAATTTATTGCTTAACTCACCTGTAGGTCCTCCTTTGCCTCTGCATTTCAAACATCTGGCCCAGATACGCAGCCAGCACTACGATCTGATCCGGTTTGTAGCCGTTCAATATCAAATGCTTGGCCAATTGCATTAAAAATTTCGCTTCGTGAATGTTCTTCTTGCTGTTATCGTTGCACAGCTCTTCCATTTCGTTGTGATCGATAAAAAACAAGTCCTGTTCGATCCCCGTGATTCGTTCCCTTCCCTGAACGGAATCACCGTCCTGCAAGACAGGATAGATCGCCGGTCTAATCAAATTAGCTATCTCCGGTTTCATCCTGTGTTGGATATTCAGCGTGTGGCACTGAATGTTGTTCAAGATCATCCGCTCGAAGAGGCTGACGCCCAACTTGAACTTTGTTTCGATTTTAAAATTTGCTGTGGATGGTTTCAATTGCTGGTGATCCCCGATCAGGATCAGATGTTCGCAGTGAGTTGTCAAAGCGGCGATGATGTGGGATTCCAGAATTTCAGCTGCTTCTTCTACGATTACTATTGGAATTTTAAGCGCTTGAAGGGAGGATTGATGTCTGGCAGCGCACGTTGTGGTCATACCGATCACTAAGGCGCCTAAAAAATATCAATACAGGATTGAATCGTGCTCCATGCTACGATACTACATTTAATAATTAATAAATAATAATAATTAATAACACATGCACACACAAAAAAAATGTTGTTTGTACATCAGACACGACCTACCTACCGGCATGTATTTTGACCCGCTGAATTCGAATTTCAAGTCAGTTTGGGCCGTCCACCCTTCAATATCAAGTAAATTGTAAAAATAGTAAAAATAAGATAATACGTAATAAAAAAATTTATGAATCGAAACCAAGCTTAATTCTTATGTATTTCGATCCGCTAAATAAAAATCTGAAGATTATTTAGACTATAAACCGTTCTAAATCATAGAAATTGTTCAAAAACCGTTAACCCAGGGACTCAGCCAGATGATCCTGTTGCCCACCGTCACCACGTGGAGGTGCCCTGGTCGCATGCACAATCGATCATGCGATCAAGCGATAAAAAAAAAATCAACTGCGGAGGTCATTTGAGAACAAAAAAGTTTGATACCAACAAAAAACAGTTCAAAATCAGGTTTTAGAGATATTGCAAATTTGTGCTATTTTTAACATTTTTCAAGTTTTTTGTACAATTTCTAGGATTTAGAACGGTTTATAGTCTAAATAAACTTCAGATTTGTATTCAGCGGATCGAAATACATAAGAATTATGCTTGGTTTCGATTCATAATTTTTTTTATTACTAATTATCTTAATTTTACTATTTTTACAATTTACTCGATATTGAAGGGTGGACGGTCCAAACTGACTTGAAATTCGGCTTCAGCGGGTCAAAATACATGCCGGTAGGTAGGTCGTGTCTGATGTAGAAACAACTTTTTTTTGTGTGTGCCGGTGTAATAATTAATTAGTTAATAATTAATAATACCTTGAATACTGGAACCTGGCTGGAGCCAACAGGGTGGTTTTGGACCACGGTGTGGCGCTAACTTTTCAATGTGAACTAACTTGAGTTTACTTCCCGCTGACAACTGAATGCGGTAGATCAAGACATTTTTGAAATGTATCAAATATATATAATTTTTTCTTTGAAAATTAAAACCTGCACATTATTTTTTATTGCCAAAAAAACCAAATGTCAAATTTCTTAGCGTATAATTTTTTATAAATAGAAAAGCAATCAAAAACCAAAATAAACAGCATATAGATTCAAAGCTTAAGTCACCTTGTTTAAAACAAGCGATTTTCAAAGTTAAATACAAATACAATGTCGCCATCTATTAGCTGAATCCATTTTCACTGAATGATAATACAATAAAGTTGTTCCTTATACAATGGCTGTTAACTTTTTAATTAAAATATGTATGTTGTTAAACTGTATACTGTTCCAAATAAACTTATAAATAAGACAGATCCTTTTTTAACTTTTCCGGAAAGTTTGCAAATAAACAATGACCATTTTTTATGAATTATGAAATTAAACATTTCACCTACCTCTCATTGTTTGCGTATCTTCCATTTCCTGCATTTCCTTGTACACACTATAAATCCTTTGGAAATCTCTAATGAGTACTTCTCTGCCCTGGTTTAAAGAGTATTTATACAACTCAAGCCAATAAAAGTAGCACTGCCATCTGAGGTCATAAGGCATGTTGTGAGGATGGCGCATATCGACAAATTCAGGGCGAATGAGTCTGTTTTTATTCTTTTCACCTTCTAATAGTCTGAACTAGAAAAATAAACCGATTGCAGATAAAAATGAAACTACTACTACTTTTACCAAAACAGCAACAAACTAAAAGAAATTATTAAACAGTATTTGTGGAAATTAATGAACACTTACTTTAAGCACGTCCAAGTAATTTTCAATTATATACAAGTTTATCTGAATCTTATCTTCTTGCATGTCTCTTTCTCTAGGACTTATTGTTTCGTCTTGTCGAACATAGTCGTAATCTTTTAACAACTGTCTTCTTCTATTCGAAAGAGTTTTAACGCTAATAAGCTCTCTGAAAGGGCTAATTTCGACATTTTCAAAGATTTCATCCACTTCTTCGGCTCCGGTATCCAAATTTTCTTCATTTTCGATTTCTAAACGGACATTTTCTTCGTTTGGTGTTACCTACAGTGAAAATGTGATATTTATGGACTATTAACAACCCTGAGCACCACTCGGGAAAGTGTTAAAAGACCTTCCTTTGGGGAAACGGTGCTCAAATTCTTTGAACCGCTCTCAAATAATAAATTATTCACGAAATTATTGTCACGAAATTTACCACTTTGAAGGTAAAATCTATATTTAGACTTCAAACTCAAAATTCTCCACTTCAAAGTCGAAATTTTGACTTTAAAGTTGAGATTCCGACTGTAAACTCGGACTTTAAAATCCAAATTTCGACTTTAAATTCGAAATTCAGACTTTAAACTTGAAAATGTCCAATTTGAAGTCGAAATTCCGACTTTAAACTCAAAGTTTAGGCTCTCAAATCGAAATTCTGACTTTACACTCGAAATTCAAAATATTAAAATCTAATTACGACTCAAAACTTGAAAGTGTCCACTTTGTTGTCCAAATTTCCTCTTTTAAGTTGATATTTTCCGCTACAGGTACCTATTCCTTATGATTAGTATTATAAGTGGTACAGATTTTTGGTTTTTTTAATTAATATTCTTTTTGACTAATTTGAGTACATTCGAGAAAATGAAAAATCTTTCTTCATTGTTAAATGCTAATCTGGCTACAATTATACACTACAAGAATTCTATGTTGGAAGAAAACATTAGTGAAAATTTGATTCCTACAAAGATGTCGTTATTACAAGGTATTCCCTAGTCAATTTCCTTATATACTCATTGGAATAACAGAACATCTACTTATACTCTTCAATCAGCAAAGAAAATTTGAATGATTAAAGAAATCAAGAACCATTAAGGTAGTAACAAATCCACAAATGTACTCAACAGTTACAGATTTGCTACTATCAATCTCTAAATATAATTCCTGTGCAATACCGGAACCACCTTGGTATGTTTTATTTATGTACGTTTATAATATTATTTATTCCTAAACGAACCAGTAGAAGTAATAATAATAAAAATAAACAATTATGAACGTTACTGGATGATGTGACCGTGGATTTGTAGTTTTTAATTTAAAGTATCTAAACTCTTCATTTTGGCCCTTCGAGCCGGATAGAGACAATAATATATAGAAGTTCTAAGTTTAAAATCTTTCCATTTTAGACAGAAAATGTAAAAATTCCAAAGCAATTTACAATTATGTTCCTGTTTGTAGAAAAATATACATATAAATATTTAAAGTAGAACGAATTGGTACTCCATTTTTTGAACAATATAGATTGTGCAATGCGTGACATGTCTAATACCTCTTGGTTTTCCTGATGCTGTTCCATCGGTGCTCTTCTGTTGGCTATGGCATTGTGCCCCTCCTCGAACAACCAACTCAAAATGTTATCAGTAGTCGCTTGATTGAACCAACTATCTTTAAAGTTATTAACTACGTTAGAAAACACGTTAAAATCCACGATGCTGCAATATCTATCGATTTCATTTAAATTATTTTTTATCGAATCGATTTGTGACAAGTAACTTGACACTTGTCGTCTCGTTTCGTGGACCGTTTGGTTTCTGGTGTGTCTGCGACTGCGTATGTTCAATTTCTGGATATTTTCATTTTTCGATTGACTACCGATTCTGATTATCTAAAAAAAATATATAATTATATACAGGGTGTTCCGTAATGATGTTCCATTATTGTAATAGAATCTTCCACCAACCATATAAGGGATGTTTCTTTATATAATATTGTAATTTGAGTATTTTCTACTCCGTCGAAATATTGTCTCACAGTAACCGGTGACGAACATTTATTATTTTTATTTCTTTTTATAAAACCTGTTGATGTTCGAAAAAATTACAAGAGTGAAAAAAGTTTCTAAATTAAGTGTAGTATTGAAATTAAGTTGGAATTGGCTTTTAAAGAAAAACTTTCTTAAAGAAATAAAGAGACGTTTTTAATATCTGCCATTTTGAGACTTAAATATCTCGACTGAGAGGACTCAAAATTGCAAAATTTTATTAGATCCATGAACAAATAACCTCGCCCTTTTATCAGATCCCGATTGTGGAAAACCCCATATTCATACTTCAATATACAGTATGGTGCAAATAAAAGAAAAAAAATTCATTATTCTTACAAAATTAATTAAATGTAATGGCATTATTAGTAGTAAAATATAAAAAATTACACAAAAATTCAAGAAGTATTGAATGTTTAACTAAATATTCAAATAGAAAAAAAAAAACTTATTGAAATAAACCAAACAATTAGGTTATTACTGCAGTGAATGGCTAACATTGAACTAACGAATTATCCAAGGTAATACGTTGATATTAAAAATAATAATTAACCTGTTACGTAAATGTTGGTTTAAATAGACTCTCGATAGTATACAGAGACTTGAGTAAGGGCCGCTGCCCGAAACTCTTACCGAAAGGCTGCTATAGTAGAGACGGTTCCTTCGGACCCTATATCCCGAAGCACCTTAATTTGTAAAGTTTTGTGCAGCGATTTGTATGCCAGATATAATTATCTTTATTTATTTTAACATGTTGTTTAAATGTGTTATTTAATAACGTTAAAATCGACAGTGTTCGGGTTGCGGTAGTTATAAACGCCAACTTAGTTTTCTTGAAAATTTTAAGTCACTAACCATCAATCCATACTCAAATACCATGAAAGATACATGACTATTGCAAAAGACAAAAAATGCTACAAAGGAATACAGCTATCGTTAAATTGAGGGAACAGGGGCGGCCCTCAAAAAAATACGATTTCATTTACAGTAGGATTAGGGTGGTTTTTACTCTTCCATGATTTAAGTTGGTGTAATTTTGCTTTGAACAATGGCTCTTCAATTAAAATAGTTACATACCAAATTTTATAAAAATCGAACGAAAAAATTTAATTTTTTTTTTTTTTAACTTTGAAGTTTCCTCACTGGCAATCGACTTATTTTGATCTCACCAACATACAGCAGCTCTATGTACACGGAATTTTGGGACACCCTGTATAGGTTTACTTTCGAGAAACCATAATTTTTAAAAAAGATTCAAATTTTAAATTTTTTGTACTACAATCATTCTTCAAATTTTAAACAACTTTTAAAAATGTCCGTTATCACGGTTTTTCCAGCACATAGGTCCAAAACGAAAAGTGATATTGACTTAAAATTTTCAGGAAAAATCAAGTTCTATAAGAGGACGAAGCATATTGATTTTGAAAAAATCTGAATAAAAATGGGGTGTTAAGGGAGGTTGAAATTAAAAATAAAATCATAAATCAGAAACAAAAAACGATATCAACTTTAAATATTCAAGTAAAATTAAGCTCTATAAGGGGACGAAGCCTACAAATAAAAATTGGGGGTTAATGGAGGGGATGAAATTAAAAAAAAAATCATAAATTAAAAACGAAAAGCAATATCAACATGTATTTTTTTTTTGGTAAAAAGCAAGCTTTTTAAGGGGACAAATGCTATTGATTTTTAAAAAATCTGCATAAAAATGAGGGACTTAAATGAGGTTAAAATATTAAAAAAATCGTAACTTAAAAACGAAAAATAATATTGACTTGAAATTTTAAGCAAAAATCAAGCTCTATAGAGAGATGAAACCTATTTATTTTGAAAAAATCTGATTAAAATGTGGGGATTAAGGAGGGTGGAAATTTAAAAAAATTCATAAATCAAAATGAAAAGCTATATCAACATCAAACTTTTAGTAAAAATAAAGCTCTTTAAGGGGATGAAGCCTATCAATTCTGAAAAATGAATTACGTGAGGGATTAAGTGGGGGTCGCTAAAATGTAGAGATTAACATAGAATGCCAAACATATATCTTCATTCTAGTTTTATTTTGATTTCTAAAATCTGTATTTTTTTCGATTATTCCAATAATAGGTTTATTTTTCTTTGGGATATAATGATTTGGCTATATACTACCCTAGAATGTTTTTGAAAAATATTACAGGTTTGCCAGATAATGAATTTTTTATGAAATTAGAGAATGATGCGGTCCCCAAATTAAATTATGATAATTTAGGTAGGTTCAGCAATGATTTCAAAATTCTTTAAAATACCGACATATAAGATTCCAAGCTAACGAATAGTTGTAATAGAACTGGTTTATTTTATGCAGTGTCTAAAAACATATGTCTTAAATATTGCTAATTTTAAGTTCAATTTACTCAATTTTTTCAAATACAACACTCTGTATATTATTTCAGCATTTTTTTTTAAATTATTTATCTGTCAAACGATAGCAACAGATTAGCGAATTAAACATATTCAGGATGTCCCATCAGTGCGTAATTGATCAATAGCTATTTTATTATTGGAAATACGAAGAAATATTTAAAATAAAAGTTGTACAAACGATATAACAATACTATTGCAACAATTATTCTTAAATATAAAGGGAGGTTTATCAACGAGGGGCTGACCAAACTTATACCTTTTAAAGCAAAACACCCTGTAGGTAGTTACACATATATTTGATTGTATTTACATCAAACAATTTTAATAGACTTTATTAATTTTCTATGTTGCATACAGGGTGTATAAAAACTCAAAGTTACGATTTTCTCAATTTTTTAAATGGAATAAATACTCTGTATTTTATAACACCCATCAATTAATTAATTAATTTCTTATATTTTAATTCTTTTCCATTCCTTGTACCAAAACACATTTTTGTGACGTCAGCAGAACATAAAACCATTCATTACTTTTGAAAAATGGGTTAACAAAAATTTTGAACGTTTTTTCTTTTGTTTTTAATTTTCATATAGTGTTAATAATAATAATAATAATTTATTTACAAAATAACGGTAAATACAATTTGAAATATTACAATATTATCTAGTAAATAAATAATAAAGCTAAAGGATATCTAGATCCTGTACAGCTGGCTAAAATATTTGAGTATATATTAAAATATATTTATAATAATTAAAAGTTATTTTTTTTTTATTATATTTTGGTAACAGTTAACCTTTGTGACGACCAACTATAAGGAAAACCTGTCTGAAGTTGAGCGAATTAGGATCAACTGTAATACCCTACGTATAACTTTTTAATAATTTTTTTTTTTGTATATATTTTTTGTTTTAGAACAGTAATATTAAATAATAATAATAATAATAATAATAACACATTAAGAATAATGACCATAATAAAAGTAATAATTATAATAATAATAACAACAATAATAACAATAACAATAATAATAATAACAATAAAAATAAAAATAATAATACCAATAACAATACTAACAATTATAATAATAATAATAATAATAATAATAATAATAATAAATAATAATAATAATAATAATAATAATAATAATAATAATAATATTTCATTAATAATAATAATTTTCAATCATTGCAAGTATAGTTTGGCGTGGAAATTGTAAAACCCATTTTTTTATTAATTTTTTGTATAGATTTTTTTGAATGAATTTGTTTTATCTCAATTGGCAATTTATTATATAGTTTAGGACCTATGTACCAAAAACTTCGTTGAGTGTTGGATTTCAATACTTTGGGTAAGACATATGTATAACTTTTTGAACGGGTATTATAATTGTATTCATTTTTTTTCAATTCGCCTTTATGGAAATGCTGCCTTATTAATAGATTCTGACAAAACAGTTGTCTAACATCAAATAATTTGCTTTCTTCGAATAGTTGCTGTGTTGGGTAAGTATATGGTTTTTTCAATATAATTTTTATGAGATATTTTTGCGTATTATTGAGATTGTTTATATGGCATTCTAATGCCCCTCCCCAAGCTATGATCCCGTATTTAATATGTGATATTTGAGGTTGAGTGGAAGAGCAGCTTCTATATTTGCTTATGCAAATCTGAAAGCTGAACTTTGCCTTTTGGCTAATTATTTTTAATAAATTATACTATTTTAATTTTGTAATTTTCACATGCCAATAAAACCATATTTATTTATTTATTCAGCAAGCCCATAATAGATCATTTTTAATTGTTCAAAATTCAATAGTTTTGATAAAAATTTAAACCTAAATAATAAGGTTCTGAGTTTCTTTATTAAAAAATTAATATGTATATCCCATTTTAGGTGTTTGTCTATATATATACCCCCAGATATTTAATATTAGATGCAAAACTAATGTCGACTAAATTTTTATTGACTCTAATTGAGATTTTATTGTAGGTAGGTGAGGTATTTTCATATGAGCAAAAAGGTATAAATAAAGTCTTGTTAAAATTGACAGTAAATATCTACATTTTTATTTTCAGAAGATTAAGTTGAAAATAGGATTGCTTTATTTATTAATTATAATTAAAAATTTAATTGTTACAATAAACCTATCAATATCTTGAGAAAAAAATGCGTTTGGGTATAGGCAATGCCATACAAAATAAAAAATGAAGAAATTTATTTATAAACTGATGGCATTTGAAAAAATTGAAAATATTGTAACCTCGCATTTAGACACAATCTGTATACATAATAACAAAGGAATGAAAATAGAAAACATTTTAGGAATTTTAATCCTTTTAAAATTAACGATGTGAAAACAACCAAATCTGTTATCCAGATTGTTTAGTCTAAAAAAGTGTAGGTTTGGTTATAGACTACCCTGTATATTTAAGAATAATTGTAAAATATCTTACAACTTTTGTAATAAAAATTTCTTCATATCTTCAATAATAAAACAGCTACCGATACATATACGCACTGATGGGACACCCTGTATATGTATAATTGGCTAAACTGTTGCTATCGTTGGATAAATTTAAAAGAAATTTTATGCTAAAATAATATACAGTATGTTTTATTTACAAAGATTGAGTATATTGAACTTTAGCCATATTTACGACACGTTTCAAGCCCTGTGTAATATAAACTAGTTGTATCGCCACCAGGTCCGCCGAGAGCCAGACCGAGCCCCAGGACAATTCTCCAGATCGGACCCTGCGGCAATTTTATAGCAACAATTTAAGGTCCTCAAGCAAAAATTTCTACTCCTCTAATTGAATTTCTCTACAAAAAAAGTCCTCAAGCAAAAATTGATCCTCCTTTACTTGAATTTCTCAACTAAGAACGTCCCCCCTCTTCTGTCGAACTTCTGAAAGTAACAAACACAAACACCGCTGCCCGGGCCCCCCTTATACCGCTGCCGGGCCCCGGGAAACAGTCTCAGCTGCCCCCCCTTTAATCGGCCCTGATCACCACTATTCGTTAGCTCATAAGTCTGTATTTAAAACCTACCTAAATTATAATAATTTCATTTGAATTTTCACAAAATAATTAATTATAAATAATATATAAATATACATTTTTATTCGTCAGGCAAAAGCATAACATTTTGTATATCCAAAAATATTTTTAAAATATGCTTTTTAAAATTCATATAACTCTTATTTGAAAATTGTTTGTGTATCTGTAACATAAATTGATTTATCGAGCAATTACGCACTAACGGAATACCCTGTATATTGGAACATATTTTTTGAAATATATCTCTTTAAAACAGTAAATTCTTTGATTCGATATGCAAGTAATTTAAAAAGTAAAAGGTAAACTAACGATAAGAGTAAGTTGAGTCTCTGCAACAAAAAACAAAGTTTATATAAATAAAAATTTCCTTGGTTTAATCGGTCAAATGTTTTTATTTTCTATTGTTTAGCACATTACATATGTTTCGGAAAATACACCTTCACACGATGTGAAATAGAAAGATGGGGTTCTATCATTTTAAAAAAATTTAAACTGTTTGTATTCGTCCCCATAATTTTTATAAATTGACTGCACCTGAAGATGGAAAAATTGTATTTCCCAAAACATATGTAGTGTGCTAAACAATAGAAAATAAAAACATTTGAACGAAATTATTATTTATACAAAATTCTGCTGTCAGGAAATTATGCTTATTCAAAAAAAAATGACGTTTAGTAATTAGAGATATAAATATTTTGATGGACCTCGAACTGTTAGAACGATTATTGCTATTATTTTATATGTAGTTTTAGTGGAATAAAAAATAATAATAATTAATTAAATTAGATACCGTTGAAGAGAAGTAGACACGATAGAAAAATATTGAAAATAATTCCGTTCTTTTTGTTCTAAAAGCAGCATTTTTAAAGTACATGATGGTTAGACTTATGCGCTGTTAGTCAAAGTTTAGGTAATCTAGATAATATACAGAAAGAAGAAAAATCTAGAAACACCAAATTTTTTGAAAACCGGTTTCTTATAAATGTATAAAATTTAAAAATAAAAATAGACAGATTTCGGGATTGTCCAGAAGACTAGTTAAAACATAATGAATTTACTCCTTTAAGGTGCACCAGCTGTACGTCTAAACTTACTTCATTAGTGACTGGTAGCAATCCTTCCAGAAATTGGTCCAACGCGTGATTAGTATAACAAATTACTAGCATCGGTGTCCTTTTGTACCAACGATTCTTATTTTCCAACAGTGTTCTTGCGATTTTTAGTCCTAAAAAGGTTTTTCCAGTTCCAGGAGGACCTTGAATAATAACGAACTCTTTACTAAGAGCAGCTTCAAAGGCTTCGCGTTGGGCAGCATTCAGTCCGTTCACTATATTTCTATCATAAGTCAAAGGAATAATTGGCCTTTGATCTCTAGGTAGTTCAGGTTGTACTTTTAAATACTCTGGAGGTTTTGCTTCGGTTTCCACTTGGATTATGTATCTTTCCATAGGGAAATGAACGGTAGACATATTCCTTAAAGCGTTGAGGACCTGATAGTACGGCTCGAAGAACACTTTACTTTCAATCATTAAAAATTGCGGACCGATTATAGTTTGCGGTATAACAGCGTCCGTTCTAAAACCAACTATCAAGTGCCCCTTTGATAGGGTTTCTAAATCTCTTTTACCAGCAACCGTTCCAAATAACACAGTACGGAAATTATCGTGAGTGAAAATTAATAAAGAGCCGTACATAAACCGTTTAGAATTTTCAAATTCGAACGACTTTTTTTTGTTACTAAAATCGTACTGTAGGCGATAACAGTTTTGATCTGAAATCGTTTCTCTGTTTAGGAATTGGACGTTTTTGTACGTCCTGATATTTTCAAGTTTGGTTCTGGGGTCTTCCAAGTATCTGTAAACAATATTTCAAATGTAAACAATTTGCCGAAAGTGTGACGAATGTTACGAATTCATTCGACTAGCAGACATCAAAGCGACAGCATTAGACCAAGGAGACAATTACTTGTAGACTAAGAGCCAGCGACCGCCAGACCTACGTTATATTATGAAGGTTAAAATTTTTTGTATATGTACATTATAGTACATAAGAACTTTTGGATGTTATGAACCTTGACTCAGATTTCGGCAGATAAAAGGTTCACAAGGTAACTAAAAATATCGAGCAAAAACGTTGCAGTATGAAAGCTGATTTTTTTATATGTTCAACTGAATAACATTAATTATAATCTCCTAAAATGTTCATACTATAAAAGCTGAATTTTGTATATGTTATTTGGACGGCTATTTAACAAATATAAAAGGTGCCCCAAAAAGAATTTTACATGTTTTGTCTACTGCACGAAAAGACACGAGATATGATCGAGTGGGCGGTATCCAGCAACAGCTAGCTTTTTAGAAATTAAGTCGCTAGTATTACATAAATAATTATTGTGACTTTAGATCAACGAAGATGTGTAACCACTATATCATTTCCGTTAGCACCAGTGCTCAATTAATTAAGAATTGGGTGCAGAAATTTGAATAGATTGGTTCCACTTTGAATAAATTATGGAGGACCCAATTCTTAATCAGTTATAACACTCACCCATAACACCCAAACTTGTTTACCTGCTATAGTGTAAACACATGAAAAATCTTAACCTTTTTACTATAATGTAGGTTCCTCAGATAAACAAATGAAATATGTTTATCTGAGGTATGTTCATTTTTTTACGAAGGTACAATGAATTTCAACGTGGACGATTTTCCTTAAAGTTCTAAGCCAAAAACGACAATTACAGAAAAAAATATTGATTTTATTCGGAACATGATTAAAGAGGACCGGCACATTACTCTCAGAAAGATTCAAGCAAGCAACTTTAAATATTGGTGTGAAAGCAATTAACATTATTTTTCACAAACATTTGAAAGTCCATCAAAAAGAAGATAGTGTAAGATGGTGCAGATCTATACTAGATCGCTTTGACCGTGGATCGTCTATTTTGGTATTAGTGTAGCGCCAATCAATAGGAATTATGCTTTCTGTGGGGAACTAAGTGTCACAAGCTGAATTATTAGTGAATTGAAAACTAATATTTTAGAGATTCTAAAACTGAAGGTAATCCAAAATTCGACCATGCAGAAGAGATGTAAAAGTTAGATAACTAATTAAAAAACCAAGAAAATATCAAATATCACAAGTGGCGTGCAACTGAAAATGTATCATTTCTATCAATTTTGAAACACCAGTAACTTTGCTAATTATGGAAATCGGACCATTGTTAATATGAACCTTTTTGCTTATAATTATGAGACCTTTAACCTGTCTCCGTTTTATATAATTTGGGACACCCTGTATATATGACCTCTGAATAAATTTATTATTAGTAATAATATCTACTAAATATTGAAAAAAATAAATGTGCCAGGAATAAAATTAGAATGGTAAAATATCTGACACTCAAAGAACCCTTACTCAACTTTAATAATTATATCTCTTTAAAGAGGTTGGACATACAATTTTTTTTTATTAGAAAAACCACAACTTACAATCTTGTTTAAAAATCGTATTAAATTTTCTCATCTGGCATTTCCATTTTTGGTTAAGAATTTAACCAAATCTTGGTTTGGTAAAAAGCCTAAGGAATCGTCTGTTGGAGGTAGTGTCGGATGGGACCCTAACGGTTCAAAAGGGAGAAGGGCCCACCTATACATTTGTTTTCATGCCCGATGCATTGAAGAGCAAAAAGGTCTTCTTTGCACACTTTTTCCGTGGCTGTCACGTAGTACGGCATTTTCGTTGTTCTTCTCAAGGGCCCACTGCCTTTACGAGGACCCACTGTTTAAACGAGGGCCTACCGGTCTTTTGAACGGTAGACCGACGGCTGACGACCCAATCCGACACTGGTTGGGGGTAGCCTAAATAGCTCTGTTGAAGAGGCCATTAAACCTCTTAATACATTAAGAGAAAGAACAAAAACGAATATAATTTTATAACAAATTTTTTAATAATATTAAATGGATCTTCGGAATGGACCTTTCTTACCATTCCAGTAAATTGACTCGTTGTATCGCATCCTATTAAAGTATGGAAAGCAGGTAGGTTGTTCGTTAGACTGTCGTTAAGGGCTATTTTATAAACTGCCACGTAACCATTAACATTTTTGATTCAGGCTTTCAACCAAATTTCACTAGGAAGGTTTCAAAAATACACCAAAATAATAGGCACATCGGTATTGTTAGAGTCAATAACGAATGAAGTAAAATTCTAGTGTCAGCTTCTTCATGGTTTGATTCTAATAGTTCTCGATTTTCTTCACAAATATTAATATTGGATTTTAAGTCTGTAATGTTATTAAATCCGCCACTAGTAACAAATTGTATCTTATAATCATGGATCCGTAATCAAGAACTTCGTTTGAAAAAATATTGGTTCAGTGAATAAATACATTTCATTGTTGTGGGAACGCAATCTCTCAATTAGTAATAATCTTATTAATTCATTTGGAAGATCCTCTTTTTTTGACGAGTAACATCTTTAATCAAATTTTCTGTGTAATGGTCAAAAACAACGTCAATAATATGTTGTGCTTTATATTTGTTTTGAAATACAATTTTTAAAAATATATCAGAATATTTCTTGAATCAAAAGACAAGTGAAGATTCCAAAAATAAATAAAAGGTCGACCAAAAATCGGTATATTTTGAAGAGATCAGCGAAGCATCGGAAGACGAGGAGAAAATATAATACGATTATTACACAAGATTATAAGTTGTTTTTCTAATAAAAAAATATGAATAACCATGCTCTTTAATTAAAGAGATATAATTACTAAAGTTGACGGCTCTTTCAGTGTTAGATATTTTTTCATTGTAATTTTACTCATGAAACAATAATTTTTTTCAATATTTAATAGGTATTACATTATGGTATTACGGTCCAAAATTATATAAAATGGAGACAGGTTAAAGATCTCATAATTTTAAGCAAAACGGTTCATATTAACAATGGACCGATTTCCATCAGTAGCAAAGTTACTGGTCGTTCAAAATTGATAGGAATGATACATTTTCAGTTGCACGCCACTTGTGAAATTTGATATTTTCTGTTTTTTAATTATAGTTATCTAACTTGTACATCTCTTACTTTTGATCGAATTTTGATCAATGTTTGTGTGTTACGTGTTAATATGAACTTTTTTGCTTACAATTATGAAATCTATAAACTGTTTCAGTTGGATCCATACAATTTGGGACATCTGTATAAAACACTATCAGAACTAAATTAGTTTATCTACAAAAAACATAAAGATTGGTTGTCCGTTGTGGTGATAATATTATGAGCCGGGCTAGTTTCGTAGTGCGACAGAGATAGAAATATGTTTACAATCATAGGTGCAAGTAAGATGGAATATAATAAACGTCCCTATTTGCACAAAATATAGATTATAAAAATGAAGTGCACAATAGGGCGAGATTTAGCCTATAGCTACTCTTACATCTAACCCATTTACATTTAATTAATAGGGTATACAAATTACAAATTTAAAAAAACAACTAAAAATTAAATACAGAGATAAATTCAAAGATAAATACTTATAGTTATAAAATTTAAAAATAATTTACAACTAAAAAATTGTGTATGCTGGCCATCTAGTAAATGTTTATTTATATTATTTATTTATTATACAATGTCCCACGGGACTAACCCCAATTACAGGACAAGGGTTAACAAACAGAAAATATATTTTACAATAATAAATAACAATTGGTTCGTTAAAAGAATGTCTTCTCGAACACACAAATGACAAAAAACGAAGAACAAAAAACAAAAGGTGCATTTGTAGTAGACAAACTTTTAAACCATATAAGTAATTGGGAGATAAAGACTCACAATAACAGCAAAAAAGAGACAAAAGGTATGAACTACGAGCATAAACGTTTAACTGAACCGCTAACAACTGTGAAATATGTCCAGATTCGGTTCTAAGAGACAATAATTTGACACAGCTTGATTAAGAGGTGATGATTTATATATATTTGTCCTGTGAGGCGGAATGTTAAATATATGTAAGTTTCTGGAGTTTAGTCTAAGAACGTGGAAGTTGATCATGTTGATTAACTCCATACAGTCAACATACCCATTAATAACTTTACGTAAAAATGTGACAGAGAGTATTATTCTGCGTTTTACAAGGCTGCAGGATTCGGTCATAAAAATATTCTTGTGGAGTGCCTCTAGCGGGAGATATATTATCTAAAATAAAAGTGGCACATTTAAAAAATCTCCGCTGAACTCTTTCTAGGTGAGTTATCTGATTATTATAAATTTGGCTCCAAATAATGCATCCATATTCAAGTTTAGATCGAACAAGAGCTGAGAATAGTAAATTCATTGTATGGAACTCTCTAAAATCTTTCATGTTCCTAGTTAGAAACCCTAAGATGTTGCTTTAATCTGGATTTAAAGGCATGGGTGATAGTGTGTTTTTTACTTTCCTATCTTTATACAGATAAGGAAAGTATAGGAATCATGATTTTTTTCGACCTCCAGCTTTCGACGGATTTTTACGTTTTGGGGTCCCCTGAATCCGTTTTGACTATTTTCGGGATTGTGTGTGTGTGTGTGTGTGTGTGTGTGTGTGTGTGTGTGTGTGTGTGTGTGTGTGTGTGTGTGTGTGTGTGTGTGTGTGTGTGTGTGTGTGTGTGTGTGTGTGTGTGTGTGTGTGTGTGTGTGTGTGTGTGTGTGTGTGTGTGTGTGTGTGTGTGTGTGTGTGTGTGTGTGTGTGTGTGTGTGTGTGTGTGTGTGTGTGTGTGTGTGTGTGTGTGTGTGTGTGTGTGTGTGTGTGTGTGTGTGTGTGTGTGTGTGTGTGTGTGTGTGTGTGTGTGTGTGTGTGTGTGTGTGTGTGTGTG